AAGAAGTTATGAATTTGGACATTATAGGTCACTTTGAAAAGTCAACAAAAACACATTTTTTGTCAAAGCTTCATACATGAACATGGAAGACTAAATTGAGATGAGACCAAAAGTGTTGCTTAGAGGACATCTCAAGATTTCTAAAAAGTCACAGAACACATCTCTAGGGTCAAAATTGAGGAAGTTATGCATTGGTGAAGTTGACCCTTTTTGCAAAATTACCAAAAGTCAAAAGTGGCCAAAATTGCAATTATTGTCAAATCGGCCCAACTTTTTGTGCTTGTATTGAGTTTGTAACATGGTCCACGGCCCATGATCCTTCCCAATTGCCTTTATTTTGTTTTTGTCATTTAGTTTGATTTTTATTTCAATTAAATCAAAATAAAATCATGAAAATATCAAAATCATTTAAACCTTGAGATTTTGTGCATATTTCAAGTCCATGAATAGCTGGCAATGAGATCAAATCGTGCAAGGCTTGTTTGTACACAAAAAGATTGAGTTTTGTTTGATTTAGAAATATTTGAATAAGAATCAAATCATGATTCAATCACCTTAATTGAAAAATATTTGGAGCAAATTTGTAAACCTAATTCACTCAAGGGTACATATAGAACAAATCCAGACCAAAAGCAAAAGGGTTGGAGGTGTGAGAAGCGGAGAAAAAACATGCAAAAACTCAAGAAAAGAGGCAATCGGATTTCATAGTTCCAGGCTCTTTCAAGCTATTCCAAGCATACCATTCACTTGCTGGACATTCAAGGAGTCCATCTCAATCATCAACAAGCATTTTCGTGCCCAAAAACACACTGTAAGCACTTCACGATATCCTTACTTTCTTGAAATTCAATACCACTATTCTGGCATTTGTAGCATGAATTCTTTACATATTCTTGTTCAGTGAAATAGTTGCAAGCTAATGATAATATTCAATTGTGTTTTTGTTATCCATACAGAGATCTACCATTGTTAGGGTTTTTGAGATAGTTTTGGGGCTTTGCCATACAGGAAAAATTAGGCCACGATTGAGGTACCATGACACTCGTAAGATTGAGACTAGTAGATTTGTACCATTACAATTGATTTATCACGCGTGTGTGCAATGTTTGAATGAAACAGGGCTATAGCTACAGACTTTGTCCGTAGGTAAAAGTCTGGACTTTTGCCAACGGAAGAAGGAAGAAGAAAGGTGGCGTGGCAGGCAATGATTCATCCATTTAAATTTCGCGCGTTTTGATATATTAATCTTGTTTTTTCCCAATATAATATTTGCTTGCTTTTCTTTGTACAACAAAGCGCGTTGGTTCAGTTGGTCAGGAGGTATGTGGAAAAACCAAAGGGCCTGGGTTTGATCCCCAGGTCCCCTTGTTCTTCAATATTATTTTGCTATATGTAATTCCATGTGTAGGTTTCCCATAGATCCACCATGGACCATCAGCTTTAAACCATGGGATCTAAAGCAGACTAAATCCAACGCCTGGCACATGAAGGTCTACAATGCACCCTAGTCAACTTGCAACGTGGAATCTGAAAGGTCAACATTGGACCAAGGCTTATTAGGCTTATTGACACCCCCTTTTTACTTTGATATCAGGCCCATTTCTCTCGTTTATTTTATATTTCTTTTATTTATTTAATTTTGATTAATTATTTTCAAACATAAAAATTAATTCTTTTACAAACAAAAACTCATAAAAATCAATTTCATCAAATTTAGGTTTTTTTATATATTTTGTCAAAATTAATTTAATTAGTTTAATTTAATTCTAGGGTAATTTTAACCTTTTGTAAATAAATTAAAAATCAATTAGAAAATTAGGATGTGTTTAATTTAATTTTTATTTTATTTTCTTAAAATAACCAAAATATAAAAATAAGTCAAATTAATTATTTCTATTAATTTAAATTAATTAGTAATTAGGTTTGTATTTACTCATTAAAACCTTATTCTTTCTCAAAAATAATCAAAAACAACTAAAAAATAATTTTTCTTTTAATTAAGTTTAGACGGGGTCAAAACCCTAATTTTCTCTCGTTCTCGATTCATCGCGTGTTTATTTGTTTTTACGGGTTTTTGGCTATGTAATTAATCCCCCTCCCCGAAGCCTTGTAATAGCGTAGTTTTATTTCTCGCATTTTGATTTTCGCAAATATTAACTGTTAGATGTATGATAATAGGATTGTATGACAAGAATGTATGTTAATTTTAAAATGGTTAGCAAACCCTAAATGTGCAAAGATAATAACTTGAAATCAAATCACTCACACATGCACACTCCTAGGGTATACTCTCACTTAGGCTGCCTTCGGTAAACGATCATTAAGTATAGGATGTTTTAGTGGTCACCCTCTTGTCTAAACAAAGATCAAAAGTCTCGTTCAGAAATGTTGTCTCGGAAATGTTGCCTCAAATATGATCTTAAGACATTAGGGTTATTACTAAGACGTCTTAACATTGCTTTAGTGATCGTACGTCCCTTTTGAATTGACCCTTACAACTCCAACGACGGTGCTACCTACTCACTAATAGTGGGATAACATTGTCTAAAGGAAACAAGAACAAAAACATTTTTTTTTCGAGTAGGTAGATGCTAGTAGGTACTTGCTCAAAATCAAACTTTTCCATACTTACACTCTTTTCAAACAAAGTTTTCATAAAAACTTTGTAACACTCTTGAAGACAGAAGCAAGGGTTAAAATGAAGTAAAACAAAAACTTGTCAAAACACACAAACACGGAAGCAATTTTTAAAATGATGAGAAAGTACCTAAGAGCCCGTAGAAAACTACAGATAGAAAGGGTGCTAATACATTCCCTTTCTATAATCTACCCCCCGTACTCAAAATCTCGAAAAAGGAATTTTTCTGTGCTTTTTTTCCTTTCCAGTTGGATAAAATGAAATTCGATGGCGACTCTTGCTTACCGCGACATTTTGTGAACACAAACGCAAAACACAAACCAACATTTTCCTAAAACAGTCCAGTTCTTCCACCGTATCACAATGTTGAACAAATTCTGATGATGTGAAGAAAAGCAAGTTCTTACAACCAAGTGCTGAAGACCCTGAAGACAAGGTTCTATATGACAAGTTCTGAAGACTCCAAGAATTAGGTTCTAAGGCTTAAAGAAATATTCTTCTATAACAAGCTTCAATGTTCAAAAATTAAAATATCTGAAACCTCTGAATATAAAGAAGAAAAGTTCAAAATGGTTAACGTGTGATAATGTACAAAAGGCACATAAAGTGACTGTGACCTCTACTCTTCTAAAGTGGCGCAAGGACAGTTCTTTTTTACTTGACAGTGACTACTCTCATTATAACTGTTGAGAATCAACAACTAGATTTATGATTTACCTTTCCACCCTTTCAACGGATCTCTTTTACAAGATATAAAAGGAAGACTTAGAAGCTGAAGAAAAGAAATAAACTACACTGCAACGACAAATGTATCGGTTCAAATTGATCTCAATAAAACCTCACCAAAGTGTTGTGCAAACTTTGTAGAGAAATCATCTGTGTATAGTTTTGTAAATAAGAAAGGAGTTGTTACTCGTATCTTGCAGTAGAACACTTAGGTGTTCTTCATTATATTGAAAAGTCTGTGTAATCTTCCTATAAGAAATACATTTGTAATACACTGAAAGTACTCAACTATTCTTGAATGATACCTTGAGAGACTGAGTGAAGGTTTGATCTCAAGAATACTCTCATTGCGGCTTGAGTGAATTTACAGTAAGGATCGATAGACTTATTGGGGGTGCCTATAAGGTTGATCAGACTTACCGTGGGTTGTTCTATAATCAGTTTGGTTATAGTGGATTAAGTCCTTGTTGAAGGCAAAATCATCCTTACGAAGTTGGACTGGAGTAGCTTAGTTAACAACAAACCATAATAAAATAATTGTATTCATTTACTTTTTATATTTTAAGCTTATTTGGTTTGCCACTATGAAAAGAATTAATTTGGTGAAACCCAATTCAACCCCCCCCCCCCCCCCCCCCCCTTTCTTGTGTTTCTCACACCTTCAATTTTTTCCACTTGATGGAGCTAGTGGTAACTTGTTGATCTTATATCCATGTTAGGAGCCCTTCCCTCATGATGATGTAAGATCCATCTTCCCATACTTGTGGTGATATTAGTTCAGTATTCTCCTAAAGATGACAATTTGTCTCTTCTCCTAAAATAAATCAACAAATCTTTGTTATTTTTTCCACGAACTATGAGGTTTTAATCTTTCATTGGTATGTAGGTATAAGAATTTATGTATTTCTAAAGAAACAATATAATAAAAAAGGAAAAATACCCTTTTTGGTCCCTTAATTTTACCTCGGGGTCCATTATGGTCCCTTATCTTTAAAAAGTTCCAAAGTGGTCCTTTAATTTTCCAAAAGGTCCACGTTAGTCCTTTCCATCCAAATTCCACAAACGGCGTTAATTTTTCTATGCTGGCATCCGATGTGCCATATGTTCATACGACCTGGCATTTGACATGGAATTTGTTTTCCACCAAGGACATCAACATTCTAAAAAAAATTCCAAAATTTTGCACTCAACCTGGATTCGAACCCGGGTCACAATGTTTGCATGAAGAATAGCTTACCAGTAAACCACTTCACTATTAATTAATAGTTTTGCATTCAAATTTGTTATTAACTCACCCGAATTACTTACGATTTTGTATCTAGATCCACCTTCTTCTCTTTTGGTTTCATAAGAATAACTGTAAAATGTATCTGAAACCCAAGAATAATAAATTATGTAAAGTTTTATCTGTAAAGTTTTATCAAGTGCCAAACCAATAATAATAAATTCAGAATATATAATTAACACATAAACTACATCATGATTAATACATAAATATTGTTTCAAGCAAAGGAAACCTTAACAATTTTAGGCTTCGGAGGAGTAACAACTAATATGAAATGTATGGGTTTCTACACAAAGATTTATAATCTTGTTGAACAGAAGTATCTTGTTTAGCATTTAATTTTTGTTGCATATGGTACTGGATTTCCATTACTACTATCAATATCTTACTTTTGTAATTGTAAGTAATGACGATGGGTTAAGTAGAATTCATCTCAATGATGGCTTAAAAATAAATTTATTTCCTGTTTCAGTTTTGCATGGTTTTGTATTATCATTCAATACTATTTTTTTAAGAATCTTTATCTGACTTCTAGTTGCTTTTGTATTTCAGAGTGTTACATTTTGCAAGGGCTTGCTGAATGAGTATGCCGCAAAGCTCATTGTAAAACCACCCACATACAACACTGTGGAGTATATGAAGGTGTATCCATATTTTGTATGCACTATAGATTTCAACTGTACAAGTTACATTGGAGATCCAGCTAGAAGAAAAAAGGATGCGAAGGATTTAGCAGCTTATGTCTCCATTCTTTCAATCCTAGGTATCCTTTTGATTCCTCTACAACAATTTTATAATAGACTAATTAACTTAAGAGCACGTATGCAGATTCTTTACTAATCAAATATTTAATACAGATAACTCTGACTCGGGGATATGCTTGTTCAGATGATCAAGGCTAATAAGAAAGCACAGAGGGAAGCTCAGTAAGTATCTATTTGTTTTTTTGTTTCATTTACCTATTTGATGTGTCTTTTGACTGTTAATATTATGTAGTGAGGGGCAATATATATCACATTTTTAGCGGCTGTATAATGGGTTCTGAATTCTGATATAAGATAAACTGTATTTGCTTATATGGATTCAAACTTCTGCAGTTGCATATGTTGTATCCCAAAATTATCCCTCCCATTTTCTTCAAGACATTTTCATAAAGGTCTCAAATAGTCAAAGTTACTCAAGAGTTGACTGGTCAAAACCTCTTCCTAAGCAATGCGTCCACAATTAGGGTTTGGTGTTTCTCAAGAAAAATTGGTTTGCAAGGGTCTCAAATGACTTTCATGGTTCATCATAGGTCTTCAATAATGCTTATGTCAAGTTTCAAGTCTTGCATCATAAGTTTACTCAGTCAATTGCTCAGATGACTAAAAATCAATTGTAAGACAAAAAGTCAAATGTGGTCAACATACAGTCAAACTTCAAGATTTTTTGGCAACATCAACATTTTGAGGTGATATTGATAATTTGATCAAGGTTTGATCATGATTCCTCAAGGAAATCCCTCAAATCATCAAAGGTAAAAAATAGCCAAATTAGGGTTTTGATTAAAGATGACTGATCATTGACTTTTGACCTAGTGCATGAATTGATGGCTTGAAGCACAATCTTAAGGAATCAAATAAAATATCTTGACCTAATTACATGGCTCAATACATTTCCAAAGATGCAAGTGATTGATAGTTGAAAATTTGAATCAATTGATGAAAAATCAATAGTCACTCAAAAGTCAAACTTTGACTTTTTGGTCAACATTGGAATTCAAAAATAAAGAATCATCAAGATATTCAAAAACTATCAAACTTGATCATCAAGAATAAAAAAAGTCAACAAAAGTCAAAAGTTGGAAAATTTTCCAACACTTAGAAAATTTTTAAGTGTTTCTGTTCTTAACAAAATCACTACTTCATGACCATTTTTTAATAAGATCCAAGTTGATTCAAGGAAAACTTTCAACATTAAAGTTGTAGATATTGATGAATTATACAACTTTGTTATTGTGGGATGATCCTCAAAAAGTGCTTAATTTAAGAGATATAATCCCATGAAGTTATGATGTTTTTTATCCAACACTTAGAAAATTTTTTTACAAGTTTTGATCAGTTTTTATCCCAACTTCTTAGCCAATTTCCGCCAAGATCCCATTTGATTTAGCTAAAATGGTCAACATGAAAGTTAAAGATCATGTTTTAAGCTTTCTAAAATGTCCAAGATCATAAAAAATCATGCTTGAGCTAGGAGTTTCGAAAAGATAAAGTTGATTATCTAAGGTTGCATTATAGGTAACTTTTGTGACAAGTTCATAATCAAATCTTCAAGCCATGCTGCATAATCCCACTTTGCATGCCTCTAACCTCCAAATCTATCCATAATCATAAGATTATACACACTTTTGAGCCATTATCCAAGTGATTAAAGCTTTATCCAATCCATTTTTCCATTTAAAGGAGAAAGGCTAGACTTCTATTTTGATAAAGCATGCTTTATGTAATTGTCAACTCTCCTTGAGCCTCTCACTGGTTTCATTTGCACACACTCAACCTAAAAACTCAGAGGAACATGTTTAAAGTGTCTAACAACTTTAGAAGGCAGGGTACTATGCATTTAAACTCTGATTTCTCAATAAATCACAAGTTACATCTCAACTAAGCCATAACTCCACAACTTGCAAACCTGATCAGCCCTTGCCCTCAAACCCTTTCTCTATAAATAGAGAGGTCATTTGCAAGCTAACACACGAATTCGCAAGCCCTCAAACACTCTCAAACTCAGAATCACTTAAAAAATTCCATTGCTGCACATTTGAAGCTTCCAACACCCAACTTCAAATCCACTCATGTATTTTCCTCTTTTATCATTAAAATACCTCTTATCCATCAAATAGAAATTGTCCAAACACTCTTGGCACAATTGTAACACCTCCACCATCATTGTATAAACCTCACTTTACACCTCTACAACTTGACTTGTCCAAAAGAATTAAGGCACTCTCAATCCAAGGTAGGCATTGCAAAAGCTTCCTGGGAGTTCAATGAAGTTATCCAGATCATCCTAACACCTCCAAAAGTGCTCTAACTTCAAATTCGATTCTTACTTCAGAGGTAAGTTTCTCCAACTTTGAAATCCTTACACACGCATCATTTGCATTAAATTTCAAAAGATAAAATATAGATATGATTGCCCTGAAACTAACCATGTCCTTAGTTTTCATTTATTTTGACTTTGTGATGAGAATTTTGGAATTGAAGTTTCTGAAATTTTAGGTTTCAGTTTGATACCAAGCAAAATTCGTTTCAGCCTTTAACTTATAGCTTTCAAAAGTTATATGGTTGAATTCGTGATAAAAAAATTAAGCCAATTTGATGTTTACATCTTTCAATTTGGTTGAGAAATGAAGCTCTTACAAAATTTGAAAATATTGTTGTTGTTGCTGTAAACGCGCGCGAGGAAGAAGATGAAGTCCAATTTTGAAAACAAGTTTTCTTTATATTTATTGCAAGATGTTTTATCACCGGATGTAACAGCCACCACAGTGGAAGCGCACCGTGTTTAAGTCATACCTATGCTCGGTCCTGGGTTTGATCCAGGCGTGGGCATTTTATTTTTCTAACATCTTCATTGCAGATCTAGTGTGAACCAAATGTACATGCTCATCATGTACCGCTCATCAACACCATCAGATTATCATGCAATCAGATCTAGTTCCCCAAATGTGTGCCCCATGATGCACCCTCAGAAACCACCCTCGCTGAATCACAATAGGCGCTCGGGCCTCCCTGATTTGGGCTTTTATTTTTGCTGCTTCTCACCCCTTATTTTACTTGTTCAAACTCAGGCTCATTTTACTTCTTTTTTTTATTTGAATTAACTTTTTCTTTTCTAAAATCATTTTTATTTAATCAACAAAAATTATAAAATCATTAAAAAAATACATTTAGGTTTTTTATTAATTAATTTAATTTTTGTTAAATAAATATTAATTTAATTTAATCACTTTGATTTTATTTTTTAATTAGAATTATTTTTTATACTTCAAATATCTTTTCTAAATAAAACACCAAAAATATTTTCTAAATACTTAGAACTCTTTAGATTTTTGATAATAAAGATTAATTAATTTAATCACACGTTATTTTATTAAATTGTAAATTAAATTATAATTAGGTCTAATTTTAATTTCACATTTTTTCTAAACAAAAACATCAAAATGTTTTCTTAAATGCTTAGAAATATTTTATGGTTTTTTAAACATTTTCCCCTTTTCACCATCTTCGCGCACTTTAATTTCGCATTAGTATTTTCCAATATTGTAACTGCTAATGGTTTGTAATAGATAATTAGGGTTTATTGTTTTTCCTCCCCATTTTTTATGGTTTGTACTCCCCATCCCCGAAGCATTGTAATAGCGTAGGACATTTAATTTCCATAATTTACTGTTTTCCTTATTTCTGTTAGTAATTAGGGTTTGTATGACAAGATTAAAATCAATCATTAGAAAACCTAATCTCAAAGATAAATAATTGAAATCAAAACACTTTGCACACAAGCACCTCTAGGGTAACCCCACTTGTTGCCTCATATCACCATAGTCATGTCCCTCGAACATGGGATGTTTTAGCAAAGACCCTCAGTTAAAAGTCGTAGTCCCTCGACGACCCTTTGATGTTGCCTTCAGTAAATGATCTTAGTCCCTTACGACAATTGCTAAAGCATCCTACAAGTTGCCTTCTATTACTATATGATGACCCACACATGTCCTTCACATCCAATGATAGGGCTTCCTACTCACTAATGGTAGGGTAGCACTATCTAAAGGAGGAGGAAAAGAACAAAGACTTTTTGAGTAGGTAGATCTCTCGTAATCGCTTGCTCACAAACTAAAACAATCTTCACACCTAAAACTTTCAAAGCAACCACTTTCAAAACACTTTATAAACACTCTTGAGGACTGATACAAGAGTTATTATAAAGAAAACTTCCTTACATTGGCATTTTTAAAACATCTTTCACAAAACAACACTTTCTTCCAAAATATTTTCAAAACAAACATTTTGTATACATTCTCAACGATACGAGAATCATTACAAAATTGTTGTACTTAGGCATTTTCAAAATATTTTCAAACATACACAAACACAAAGCATTTCAAAAGTGAGATAGAAATTAAGAGCCTGTAGATAACTACGGATGAAAAGGGTGCTAATACCTTCCCTTTTCATAACCTACCCCCTGAACTCAAGAAAAATTCTCAAAGCTCTTTTCTGTTCTTTTCACCATTTCCTTTATTGGATAAAAGAAAAGTCGATGGCGACTCTTGTTATCCGCAACATTTGCGATAAAAAGCAAAACCAAAATTAAGTTCTCCCACCATATTACATAACTGGCGACTCTGCTGTGGACTAACTAAAATTCGGGTTACCTTAGAGATAGTTCACATTTAAATGCTTTCATTGTTTGACTTGTCTGCTTTACTTTTAAAGGGTTGCTTGGGTTTATTTCTTGTGTAGATCCTATACTCGGATCTGGGGGCATTTTAGGTAAGTAGCAATAAATTATGGAAATTATATGGCATAGACTGATATGGTTGAAATGATGTCTATGTTAGTGCGACACATTGGTTTGTGCTAGTATCCCTTGAGTAAGTCAAGGAGAATGATGGGATGCCGCGTGGTGTCATAAGCACTAACTGACCTTAGAACCTTAGTTGACATAACTTAGCCATTAGAAAGTAGTGAGATGGCCGACTTTGGTGGAGACTGAAGTTGGTTGATACTCGATGCTACATTCATTGAGATTGTACTTTCGGGATATTTCGGTCGCAATTTAGATGCTTGTGCTGAAACAATGTCTGAGAGAAAGATCAGTGATATTGAGGCTCCTAGAACCCGGTTACTT